GCCTCCATCCTAGACAATGTGAAAACATTTTCAGGGCATATGTTCTATATTCGAGACATATGAAAAAGGATAAGCTCTTCAATTTTATGGAATGACTGAAACCATGGGCAAGAATAGACTCCAAAGACGTAAAATGGCTAATTTAAGAATGTAACGGAAGGATTGGCTATAAGGAAATAACTATCAATCTGGAGTAAAGTTATTCATTCCTTCAAAATAACCAATAGAAAGAGGAAGGAATGAATAACCTTATAGCCAATCCTTTTTTAGTCCAGATTGATAAAAGGATTGACTAATTTAAGAATGTAACGGAAGGATTGGCTATAAGGAAATAACGGAAGGATTGGCTATATGTGAAGTATAATTTGTAGGATAAAAGGATTGGTTATTTCCTTATAGCCAATCCTTTTTTATTTCCTTATGACAGTTACTAGTACTACTCATAATTATCTTGTAAGCACTCAAGTGGAGTACATCAAGCATGTGATAGAGGAAAGTTATAGGAAATTCAATGAAATCAACTTAGTTACTCAATCGATTGTTGGATGAGCCAAATATGTACTCATTAAGGTTGGTAATTTTGAAGGAATGAATAATTTGTCGACAATTCAGATGGACGACTCTAGAATTGCAGTTCCTTTGGGATTAGAAGACACCAATATTGTAGTATTCTGATTTTGTTAATGATGGAAGTAAGCCACGTGTTATCTCCACACTAGTCGAGAAATTGGGTTAGAAAAGCGTCTAAGCCATGTAATTTAGGAGGCACTTCAACCGAAATGAAACTTCATTTTTCTGCTCTCTTTAATTAGTAGAAATTGAGGAGGCAACTGATCATATCTATTAGCATTGTTGAATATTTTTAGAATTCTCTGGACTAAATTGGGAAACAAGAAAAGTTTAGAAGTTAAAGAATTATTTAGAATTCACTAGAGATTTTTGGGAAGCAATCAAAATCAAAATATAAAATAATGAAAGTATCAGAAAATTCTAGAATTCCTTAAAGACCAAATAAGATAAAATAATGAAAAAAATAAGAATTCTCTAGAGGCAAGCCACCAACTTTTGTATGCGATAAATAGGGTTTCCTACTTCAATTTTCGGATATAGAAGTCTAAAAGCATTGCCATTATAAAATTCTATTTTTCGATAAATTAAATTTCCTTCCTTCAATAGCTTGTTCAATTTAAAATTACTCCTTACTATTTTTATCCTACAAAATATAGTTCACATAAACCATCTAATATTTCCAATCTAATTTACTTATTTCTCCTACCAACTATAAAATCTCATTAGTGGTATCATAGCTTTGTTCAATTAATATTGGGCGTAAGCATATACTATGACTTACACTTTCCATTCATTAATCCCTATCCCAACATTTAATGGAGACAACTATGATTTCTGGTCCATTAAAATGAAGAACAACTTTTGTGCGCAAAATTTATGGGATGTTGTCAACGACGGGCATGCTAACCCAAATGACATTTCAACTCTAACTGCTGCATTTCAACTCTAACTGTAACATTACTTGTTTTACAAATGAGCTTGACAAAAACTTATTTTTCGAGAATTATGGGAGCTAAAATGGCAAAAGAAGCTTGGGATAAGCTGAAGGAGGAGTTCTACGGCAGTGACAAGGTACNAAATTATGGGAGCTAAAACAGTAAAAGAAGCTTGGGATAAGTTGAAGGAGGAGTTGTACGGCAGTGACAAGGTACGTACTTGCCATCTTCAAACTTTAAGAAGGAATTTTGAAAATCTTAAAATGAAATATTCTGAAACCGCAAAAGATTATTATTCAAGAATAAATGAAATAGTAAATCAACTAAGATCTTATACAGACGATGTTCCTGAAAAGAAATTTGTTGGAAAAATTTTAATTACTTGTACAGATGGTTTAAAGGAAAACCACAGATGGTTTAAAGGTTAATTAGCTGTAAAAACTTTGAACATGAAAATTTTTTTTATCGTTTTAAATAAAATCACCAAGCTAATTTCTTTGAAGAAAATGATATAAAAGGAAGTCTATTTTATGCCTCGAACAAAAATATATCTGAAGAGAAATTAGATACACGGTATCTAGACAGTGGCTACAGTAATCACATGATGAAAGATAAAAGTATTTTTTGCAGTCTTTATAAAATAAACACAAAAATAAAAATTGGTAATGAAAATTTTATAGAGCAATAGGAAAAGTCACTATTACAATAGATACAAAAAAAAGCAAGAGATATATCAATAAAGTTCTCTTGGTCCTTACAATAGATCAAAATCTACTAAGTGTCGGTCAGATGATGGAGAAAGGATACAGTTTATATTTTGCAGGAGATTCTTGCACTATCTATGA